AAAGTATTGCATTTTGAAGGGTACATCTCATTGTACAACAAATTCATGATAATTTCTAAATTGTTGGTTTATGCATACAGTCACCGATGTCATTAAATCCCTGCTGTCAGCTGGGTTGATCCTGTGTGATCTCATAATAAAACAGGCTCCTTAGTCCCATCTATGAAGTTAGCCTGCAAGGTGTAATTGAGAAAAACATGTAAAACAAAGCAAGGAGAAATCAAAGGCAGCTGGCTAAAATGGAGCCTGTAATCCGCTTTATAATTTGTCTCTGGTGACTTATCTGTCCTGTAATCCAGGCTGTGTATAGGAAGCTCAAAAAATTAAAGGTCACTTTGCCTGTGTGTGTTTGAATGGGCCCTTATGACTAACAAACTGAGTCCTACGATGAGTAACAAAAGTGACGGTAGCTTCTACTGAAGAGAGTTTTTGTTCACACAGGACAAAGAATTTGACTCTTTTTTTTCCTGAGAAACTATCCATCACTTAAACACTGAGATCGCATGTGTAGTACCTTTTATTCCCCGAGCAGGTTGGCACATGAGGAACTTCATCAGGGTGTCACTTGCAGTTGTGTTTGTTTTTTAAGGTTTTCATCTGTCAGCTGCAGGATCCTGCTAACGCACTGAGATCATCATCATCTCCACCCCAAGGAAACTTGAACGGCTCTATTCCAAACACACACACACACACACACACACACACACACACACACACACACACACACAGAGGATGTCACCATAATGGGAGAGTCATTTGGCAAGTGCATACCTGCTCTCTCTCAATCTGAAAATGGAAAAAAACAAAACAGAGGAATGTGAGTCTGTTCAACAGAGGTGACATTGACCGACGTTTCACATATCTGACTGGATTGATGCATTCTTATTGGGCACTTTAAAGGGCCACTTCATCCTTTTCCAGTGTTCCCACAAAGGTATAAGTGTTTCCTCGTTCACCAAACCACCACATGATGGAATTTGTCATGGAAGAAATTGTCACGGGGTTACAGCCTCCTCCAGCTGACCTGCAAGCGCTTTTTTTTTTTTTTTTACAGTGGGAAAGCCTTTATTTTTAGTAGGCTGTGTGGTGAAATTGATTTTCTACGGGGCTTAAAATGTGCACGATGCAACTGGAGGGAAAGATTTGTTTGTATGTGGGAATTTCTGTATGAGGGATTGTCGGCAGGAAATGAGTAATTCCATATGTTCCATGTGGCTTGTTTATGAGTGTGTATGGTGTCCTGTGACGCAGGTGGTGAAGCCATATCAGACTATTCCTATCCCAACTCTTTCACCACAGTGATAGGATGGTTGACAATGTCTAGAAAAACCCTTTTCACCTCTCGGACAATGCAAGAAATCAAAATGTTTATTAGCGAAGCACTGCACTCATCAGACTGCAATATGGACACCTACTCCACCTCATGTGGAGATATATGAAATCTTGCTGCTCCCATTGTTTTGGGCAGAAAGTGATGGACTTTTAAACAGAATGTGTGGCTGATAGTCCCCTTCCACTCAAAAATGTGTTCTTCTTCTGTTTATGTCCCATAAAATGTCTGAATTTGGCTCTACTGACTTACATCTGTGTAAAGTTTGTCACTAGAGAGGTGCTTTCACATTCCTCTACTGAACGGGGTGATGTCTGTGCATTTCCTCAAAATCTGCAATTCAAACTTACGTCTGGCAAACTACAATAGGTACGACACTAATAACCCACATATCGACATGGGACTTTTACACAACATTGGCAAAGAAACCCAAAACCTCCAGAACAGAGCGAACTTGTCAGTGCACACAGACAATATGTGCAAACATATTGGAGTGTGCAGGGTTTGGAAGTAAACTGGACCCTGAAGTCTCTTCCACTATCTACCAAAAACCCCATGATAGCAGATATTATCTCATTTTTAACAATCATTAACGCTGTGTGAGCCACTGTCAGTTAGCCTACAAGCTAGCAAGCTAACAAACAATATCAACAAATAAAACACGCTTACTACATTTATACATCTCCTTGTCGCCAATTTTGTTGCACAACAGACACCTCATCAGAGTCTAGGTCTGACTGAAGCTCAAACACCAGTGTTTCCCCAAATGCTAGTGCACATTGTGCTTTAACTGGTCTCACATAAACAGACTTAGCTTCACATTTTGTTTTAGTGCTGTGTCAGTGCTGGAGAAAACAGAAAGAGGAAAGCGACAGCAAAAGCAAAAGCTACTGCAAGAAGTGGTGGTGGCTGGGGCAGATGCCAGATCCAGAATTTCTCAATGAGGGAGAAAGAGTAGATAGGCTTCAAGCCCCCTTTCAGAGTTTTTTTTTTCTTTTACTTTATTATGTGGGAAAACTATGTGAAACAAAAATATTAATTAACTAATTCATGTTTTGACATGCTTTGAATCGTGGCTGGTGGAGGAGTTTAAGCTATCAGAAACTACTTTGCTTTGTGGTGGGGTTCACTGTGTGCCTGCTTTGAGAGACACTTGAAAAGGGCAGGCAATAGGACCAAGCAGAGACTACAAGTAGTATGTATTGTTTTGCTTCCTGGTGAGGAAAGTGAGTAATTGTTTCCCCTCCACTGTGCTTGAGGACACCAGGAAAGCAGAGGAAGCCAGAGTGGACTCCAGAAGAGAAAGAAACTGTATAATGAATAGTGACTCACACACTCTGCAGTTTATCTTTTTTAAACTGTATCAGTGCAGTGTAGAGAAACCAATGATTAATCACACTTAAAGGTACACTATGCAAGATTGTCAGTTTCTGTTTGTAAACATGCTCGCCAGTGAAAATAAAAGTAGAAGCCAACCGCAGTTTCACTCGTTTGACGTTTTGCCTTGCTATTATTGTTTTTATGTTTTTTTTGGCGCTGTGTCTCTTGAATGCCTGCTGCTTACGGTTTGTACTTGGCCGCTACCTTTTTACAAAGCACCAACCTCACCTGAGCCCTGTGAGAGTACACGCCCATAAACGTCCTGAACACAAAAAGAATAAATAAGTGAAAGAAGAAGAAAGTAAGAAAATACAGGCAGAGGAATCACCACACTCTTATAGTTGGTGAGTTGAGTGGCATGTCTTCTGTATGTGTCTACAGATTGTTTTTTAGAAAATTCCTGCATAGTATATCTTTAGGGGTTATTCTGATTTTTCATAAACCACGTCAGGAATTTAAGGTGCCATGCCAATGTTCCGACAGCTCATTATACCAAAACCACAGTCCCACGAAGAAGAAAAAGGATTGTTAGATTTAATATCCGCCTGTACGGTCCGACAACCTAGCCTCCACAGTATTTTTCTTTCCTACTATGGTGAAGACCAAAGACCAAACCTACTCTGTCTCTGATTGGCTCACCCTTATATTCTGACCCTTATCCTTTCTAATCTCACACCTCATGCCTAAACCTAACCAACCCGACCAAACAAAGGCATGTATTGGCCAGTCAGAGGCAGAGTAGTGCAGGACATGCCTTCTGCAAAGTAGCAAGGTCATTCTGCGTAATAATTAGCTATGTGCTTCTGTTTGGAACTTGGAAGTGTGTAGCCTATTTTGGGAAGACCTTGGAGCAATGCACGTTTGTTTTCGGGGTATCAGGCTGTCCAATGTAACAATTTTCAGAGTATTTGGGTACTGGAATCCTCCAATCCAGTCGTCGAAGTAAGTTGGACATACTCTAGTACACATGATTTATCAACTCGTGAATATACCTTAATATTCTTATCTATTGCTATCTTGGCATTTACTTCCTCCTTTCTTAAGTGTAAGCATCATTGTCATAAGAGTCATATTTATTCTACAGACTCTCAATAGAGACAGCCACCTGCGCATGAATGAGAGCAGCATATCAGAAGCACAAATGCAGGAGCTGCAGTCCTCCCTTTACAGTGGATTCATTCAGCCACATTACTCCTGCGCTGGAGAATTTTTATAGCAGCCAAACACAAAATCATGTACAGGTGTGAGGCTCCATTCAGACAGAGAAATACAAGATGTCCACTATTTTCATCTTTTTCACCTCCAAGAAATCTGGCAACGTAGCAATACTGCCGGCACCGCTACAGGTCGCAGTAGTTGAAATATAAGGGGAATTTCTTCTGAGTTAATTTAAAATACTGGAGCCAGTGCAGAAGTTCATGACATAGATGTTGTGTCACAGTCAAATAGATTGAATTATTTTTTATTCTCTTGGTGGTGTCCTTTAGTTAAACTGCAACCAACTGTTCTAAACTCATCGTAGGTAGTGGTGAAAAATTAAGTTATTCAAGTATTGCACTTAAGAAAAACTGGAGGTACGCGCACTTTACTTGAGCGTTTAAATTTTATACCACTTTTTTTTTTTTAAACACTTTTACATCTTACAACATCTTCAATGCATGAATTTTGCTTGTAACGGTGTATTTTTACAGTGAGGTAGTGGGACTTTTACATAAAAATAAGATCTGAATACTTCCTCCACCGCTATTTTCAGTACATGCCACAGATCAACTGAGTTCATTTCTGAGACCTTCAACCTAGAGTACATTCAACTGGCAGCTATCTGTGCTGCAACTTGTAGTAAACAAACTTCTGGTTCAAAAACCTCCAAGAACTAAAACCATGAAAGCTCATACATTAATCCAGGAAACCCCACTTAACTATATTCAGGTATTTATTTGCACGTTTAACATGATATGCACAACACTCATGTGGGTTTATATTACACAACACACTCTAATACTTTTATGAAAGAGGTCACAGGTTCTTCTGATGCAAGCTTGAGTGAAAGAGAGAAACCCGGTCACACTGTAGAGGACACTTCTACCAGTTTCACAACTTTACTAAAATGTAGACAAATGAAGCATAGATGACATAACAAAGAAGAAATTATCACTGTGTTTGCTATCTGCAGATCGCTCATGGCAGCGCCATGGCCTCGTGACACGTGCCACATCAAGTAACTCATTGACCTTCTCTGAGACTGGAGTTTGAACTCAGATATATAAGGAACCCTTCAGGTGGACCATCATTCTGCAGGCAAGTAGCTTTGCTGTTGCCACTTTTGAGCATGGGTGAGTGAAATCAATGGACATTAAAAGCTGTGTTTGGTGTCATAATGTATTTTCAAAAAACAAAATAACCTGTAGATGCACAGTTGTTTTATCAGCAGAAACTGTACCTTTATATTGATAAAAATCTATAAACTTGGTATGCACATCTCTTTGAGATGATATGTTGAAACTGAGGACGTCTCTCATGTTATTATATCTTTCTCTTACATTGCAGAAAGCATGGCATTGCATCGTGTGTGTGGAATATTTGTAATCCTCAGTGTATGTTTCATTTCCATCACACCACCTTGTGATGGAGGAAACATTCTAGTGTTCCCTGTGGACGGCAGCCACTGGATCAATATGAAGATCCTCATGGAAGAACTTCATGCCAGTGGACACAACCTCACTGTGATTAGGGCCTCCACCACCTGGTACATCCCAGAAAAGTCTCCTTTCTACACATCCATTACCATTGAAATGAATACAGGTTTCGAGAACTTCTTTGATATCTACCTACAGGAGCATATGAAGGTATGTCATTATGGATTATGTAATGGGCCCCATGTGGGTCATTTAGTCATTCAAGTACTAAGATGATCACTTTTTCACCGCTTTTTAAAAACATTTTTTCAGGTGCAGAGAGAAGGGGCCTCAGCACTTACTTTCTTCAAACTCACCAAGCAGTTCCTCGCTATGATTTCTGAGGCTCATGAAATTTGGGCTGATGCTCTCACTCAAGTCTTTGATGATGAAAATATGATCAAAAGCTTAAAGGATTCCCAATATGATCTTGTTCTCACTGACCCAGCTATAGCACCAGGGGTTATACTAGCTAAGTATCTCAAACTACCTGTTGTGCTCAACGTTCGCTGGATTACCAGCGGAGAAGGCCACTTCACCATGGCCCCCTCACCGCTCTCTTACATCCCTGTCCCAGGATCGGGCTTAACAGACAAAATGAATTTCATCCAGAGGGTCAAGAACATGCTCTTCTACAGCATTATAGTTGTCCAGCAGAAATTCCTGGTGGGGCCGAGCTATGATGCCATCTGTGCTAAATACATTGAGGGTGGATGCGACATTATCTCGCTTCTTCAGGAAGCAGACATTTGGCTGTTCAGGTCAGATTTTGTGTTTGAATTCCCTCGGCCCACAATGCCAAATATTGTCTACATAGGAGGGTTCCAGTGCAAACCGGCCCAACCTCTGCCAGCAGATCTGGAGGAGTTTGTTCAGAGTGCTGGGGAGCACGGAGTCATCATCATGACTCTGGGAACTTTGGTGAACGCGTTGCCCAAAGACCTTGCAGATGAAATCGCTGGTGTCTTTGCCAAGATGCCTCAGAAGGTAACACGTGTCCAGAGATTCACTTTTGCATGACATGAAATGTTAAAAAGACTGCAATGTGAGGTTCAAAATACTAATTTGTCCACATAGACTGTCTTAGGCAGCAATTAATCTGTCATTGACTATGTTAAATTAAAGGAAATATTAAATATGAATTAGAGAGACATGAAAAAAAGACCGCAAATTAACAAATCAGGCCTTAAGGGGAATATGTCAAAGAGGAATTTATAGCCCTGTGATACACTGGCAGCCTGCCCAGGAAGTCTAATGAGGCATAATGAGTGGGTATAGAAAATGGATGGATTGATTTATAAAGATATTAAACCGGTGGCGCCCTGAGAAGTTTTTCATAATGGTGGTCCAGGAGCGGCCACTGAATATCTTAGATAGCGCACCAAAATCAAAAGCCATAACTGAATTTCATGAATTCAATGATGCTGTTGCAGTATGTAGAGTAGTTGAAATCTGTCAATATGGAGAGTTAAGGAACTACAAACCAGAGATGGGATCAAGTCACACATGTGCAAGTCTCAAGTAAATCTCAAGTCTTAACCTTCAAGTCTCAAGTAAGTCCCAAGTCATTTTTTCTTGGGCAAGTCAAGTCAAGTCACAGGTTATGTCAAGTCAAGTCAAGTCCTGTAATAGGTCAAGTCAAGTCCAAGTCAAGTCAAGTCACCTTATTATTGTAATTTTACCTGGAGAATCTGATCTTAATAAAGTGAAAAGACAAGATATAAGTAACTGTCAGTAAACATTGACTTCATCGCTGCAATGTTTACTTTGCAGGGATGACCCCCATGCGTGCGTGCGCGCACACGCGCACACACACACACACACACACACACTAACCAAGGCAGCGGCCAAAATCACCCATTTAGCTCATTTAATAATTTTGTGATGAACCGGTCGAAATGTTCACTCATGTTTTCTGGGGTTAATGTTAGCAAATAAATTTAAAAACAAGTTCCACCAAACCGACCCACCCCCCCACCCCACCCCCGTATCGTATCAAGCTAACGTTAGCTAACTACCGACTAACCAGATAATATTAGCTAATTGACAAGCACTTACTGGGCAGAATGGCTCTTTAAATGATGAACAAAGTTTGAAGTTGTCGTCTGGCTGTCCGAGATGTTTATGCTGCATGTCTTGCACTGTGCTGTTCGTCTTTTGCTGTAATAATGGTAATTCCGAAAGCTGAAGACGTTGACTCTTGGTACCCCTCCCGCTGACATGTAGATGCCTATCTGATGTAAGAGGGTGTGTTTCTCCAATTAACACGTAAGGTACATAGAGAGGGCATGACTGACAGGGTAGTGATCCAATCATGACAATGCCATTCTCAGCCTGCGCTCCTACCAGGTAATTGACATTATTTTTTAAATTAATTTATTAATTTTATATTCTAACCGAAAACATGATGTGAATAACACTCAAGTCATTCAAGTCATCGTGTCTCAAGTCAAGTCAAGTCCTGAGTCTTTAACTTCCAAGTCTGAGCCAAGTCTCAAGTCTTTTATTTTTTGTCAAGTCAAGTCACCAGTCATCAAAACAGCAACTCGAGTCGACTCGAGTCCAAGTCACAATGACTCGAGTCCCCATCTCTGCTACAAACTGATACACTTGGTTTCTCCTGTTTTAATGTGTCTTGTATATATACACATCTTAGGCTATTAATCGTTCTTTAAATAGGCTGGATGTCCTTTTTCTTTAAAAGACAAATATGTGGCTTTAATTTGAACGAGTACATTGATTGTAAGGAACAAAAAAATTCCTGGGAACGAGCCCTCTTAAGTTTAGGGGAGACTCGTGGATACCCATGTCACCCACTTTCATTCAAATATCGTGAGGAGACAAGCTATGCTAACATGGTTAATACCAATGGATGTCTTAGGTTGTCTAGTTTGACAAGACTTTACTACCTTTGTGCTAGCTTAAAAAATTACCACGCCACAGGCTTTTAAGACAGTAATATCAGCCTTCAATTATTTTCGCCAGGGAGGGCAGGCAATTGTATCAGGAGGGCAAGGGGTCACCATGGGTGCACCACTGAATTAGACAAAAATAAAGGTGAACTGTGTAAATCAAGACAGGCTGCAGAGGTGACATTATCATTACTTTGTATATCTGCTGGAGTACAGAAATTCATAATGCATTCATCTTGTGTTCAGGTGATATGGAGGCACAAAGGGGAGTGTCCGTCTACTCTGGGCAACAACACCCTGATAGTGGACTGGATGCCACAGAAGGACCTCCTGGGCCACCCGCAGATCAAAGTCTTTGTAGCTCACGGAGGAACCAATGGAGTCCAGGAGGCCATTTACCACGGGGTCCCTGTGCTCGGCATACCCTTGTTCTTTGACCAGTACGACAACCTTCTACGTATGCAGGAGAGAGGAGCCGCGAAGATCATTGAGCTAAGTGATGTTAATGGCCACAGTTTTGAGCAAGGTATTAAAGAAGTGCTCCATCAAGACAGCTACAGACAGAACATACAAAGACTGTCCCGCTTGCACAGAGATCAGCTGATGGCTCCCATGGATCAGGCCATCTTCTGGGTGGAATATGTGATGCGCCATAAAGGGGCTCCTCACCTGCGTACAGAGGCCTATAAGATGCCCTGGTACTCGTACTACTGCTTGGATGTACTGCTACTATTGCTGACTGTAGTGACTGTACTGCTGCTCTCTACTTTGGCCTTTTTCAGATTCCTATGCTGCAGAGGTAGAAGGATAACCAAAGCCAAACAGCACTGATTAAGGTTAAATTTGTTTAGAAGTTAGCATACTTCTAAACAACAATAAATTCTACAATAAATGCTACAATAAATTCTCTAAAACACTGTATTTAGACAAAAACATACATCTCAAGGTATCTCATTTATATCTATTTATTATTTATGGAGAGATGAAAATTAGTCAGTTTATTTAGCCATATTAAATTTAGATATGGTTAAAGAAATGTAACCATTTAACTATTTCAACATTGATTGTCAAACGTATTTAGTGAGATCTAAATTTCAGTCATAAAATACCCACAAATCATTTGTGATAGTCTGATCGTTGGATAGTCATTGTCAAGTGCACATAATGGACTTTATAAAAACGGATATAAGCAATGCTGTGCATGACCATACAAAAGTTCATTGAACATGCTCATATTTTTGGTGAACTATGACCTGAATGCATTAGTTTGCAACTTATGAATCTGAATTCGAGCATCAGTTAATGGCACTCATTTTACAGCACCCAAGGATGGTGACACGACACCGGCATGGCTAGTACTAATGTATGGGGCTATTATGGTAGCAAAATAGCTGCAAATGTGTATCTCAATCTGTGTGTGCGTATTCAGATTTGTACATGTGTAAAATAATTTGTAAAAGCGTAATAAAGTTTGTGAATGCGTACAAAAATCTGCAAATGTGTATTTAGAATCTGTGTGTGCGTAATCAGATATGTAAATGTGTAAAAAAATCTATAAATCTGTATTCAGATTTGCAAGTGTACTGCGATCTGTAAATCTGTACAACGATCTGTAAATGTGTACAACGATCTGTAAATCTGTACAACGATCTGTACAACGATCTGTAAATGCGTACAGAGATCTGTAAATATGTATACAGATTTGTAAATACCTATATGTCTTAAGCTTTGACTCAGTTGGGCCTCTCAGTTGGCTCTCTTTGTACACGTAATTTTTGCTACTCTTCTGCCGTGTGAGATCCGCAAATGCGTGAGAAGATTTGTGTCTGTAACTCGAAGTGTGCCTCACCCTGAGCACAGGCTGACAAGCTCAAGCTGCAGCGACCTTCAGATTGTTTTGCCCTGAGCACAGGCTCACAGGCGCTACTTTACTGCGCTGTTTTGTTGTTGTATGGACAGAAAGTGACTGGAATAATGCTGTCACTGGGAGGAAGTACTATAGTGTTCAAAGGTATGTTGGTGATGCAAGACCAACAACTAGATCAACTCAAGAGGAAGACATTATCTCTAGGATGAGATTTGGGCATACTGGTTTAGGCAGTACTTTACTTATTTTAAAGAAACATGCTGATGGTAAATGTAGTGTATGTAATACTGCTGAGACTGTAGAGCATGTTATTGAGTACTGCTCCAAATTTGACCAGGAGAGACAGCAACTCATTCAGGAGCTGGAGTCAGAAAGTGTGCCTTTAAACATAAAGACTATCCTCCAGAAAAATTCAGGCGAGGTTTGCTTCAGGTTTTTGTTTTATTTCTTGAGTAGAACTGGTCTGATCAGAAGATTTTTTTGTTGTTGTTATTGTTTTTTGTGAATATTAATTTATCCAGACCCACACTCCATTTCGGTAGGTGGCGGTAATGCTTCCATGCGTTGTTTGCCAACCACCATAAAACTAGAAGAAGAAGAAGAAGAGGAGGAAGAAGAAGAAGAAGAAGAAGAAGAAGCTGTATGGACAGGCTGCATCCTTGGAGGCCCCATAAATGTCTTCCTCTTGAGTTGATCTAGTTGTTGGTCTTGCATCACCAACATACCTTTGAACACTATAGTACTTCCTCCCAGTGATAGCATTATTCCAGTCACTTTCTGTCCATACAGCAACAAAACAGCGCAGTAAAGTAGCGCCTGTGAGCCTGTGCTCAGGGCAAAACATTCAGAAGGTCGCTGCAGCTTGAGCTTGTCAGCTTGTGCTCAGGGTGAGGCACACTTCGAGTTACAGACACAAATCTTCTCACGCATTTGCGGATCTCACACGGCAGAAGAGTAGCAAAAATTACGTGTACAAAGAGAGCCAACTGAGAGGCCCAACTGAGTCAAAGCTTAAGACATATAGGTATTTACAAATCTGTATACATATTTACAGATCTCTGTACGCATTTACAGATCGTTGTACAGATTTACAGATCTCTGTACACATTTGCAGATCTGTGTACAGATTTACAGATCTCTGTACACATTTGCAGATCTGTGTACACATTTACAGATCGTTGTACAGATTTACAGATCGTTGTACACATTTACAGATTGTTGTACACGTTTACAGATCGTTGTACACATTTACAGATCGCAATACACTTGCAAATCAGATTTGTAGATTTTTTTTACACATTTACATATCTGATTACGCACACACAGATTCTAAATACACATTTGCAGATTTTTGTAAGCATTCACAAATTTTATTACGCTTTTACAAATTAATTTACACATGTACAAGTCTGATTATACACACACAGATTGAGATACACATTTGCAGCTATTTTGCTACCATAATAGCCCCATACTTATGGCAGTTAAGACAACTCAGCTGCCTGTACCACTGAAGCCAGTTCATGTGGACATCTGAAAGACTTTTATGAACAACTCTGTACAGATTCCAATGGAAAAAAATCACTCATTTATATGTAAATTGTGCCTACCCAGTTTGAAAATACAAGCCCAAACATCAGTCAACATTGGACCAGTCTTGGGAAATATCTGTGGATGAATGATAATCACAAGAAATCATTAACAAAGACCATAATTCAACAGCCACAAAGTTCCCCCACCCTCCGCCCAAGTCAAACTCACGGCATTTTTGTAAATGACCTGGTTGTTTTTTCCCATAGTTGCTTTGTCTAAATCATGTGCTGTGCAGAACTTAAATCTCAACACATCTATAGTGACTAATTGCCAGTGACTGCTGTTGATGGAGCCTGTACCAGCTCATTTGGAAGCATATGAATTTTATATTTTATGTTTTTGTATTGCTACATAATTTGGTTCATGCAGGTTAAATAAAATTGCATTTAATCTACAGCATAGCTTAACTGTATCTCTTTTTTTCACCTTATGCATAATAGGATACATTGTGTAAGTGGTAAAACATACCCACATTGGTTTTTCTTGGATTTTATGAGTAATCTCTGTCTGTGATTCTGTAGTATAGTAATTTGATTAGTTTGGGAAGTGAGCAGTGGCAATGACTGAAGGCTGGGAATGGATGGGTGGAAAAGATTTTAGGACTACTTAAAAAGAACAGCTTTAGTTGGTTTGAGGTCTACTGTTTTAAAGCCTGGAGTTTGGCATTGTGGCCACTGCCATCTTGTTGTTTGGGTGCCAGAACTGACCATATTTGAATGAGAAGGTGGAGCTGACTGATTATTTGTCAATGATGCATTGCTACACCTCTATCCTGACTGAAAGTTCATGACTTGTCAATCAAAACCCAGCTGGCCACCAGCGTCATAAGATGTTGATATTTGGTTGAATTTAGGTTGCGATGTCGGGTGACCAAAATTCAATGGCAGGACAAAAACTAATGCCAATCTCTATTTAATGTAGACTGACAACTGATGATGTTTATATTTTGTTGGGTTTAAGTTATGTTGTTGAGTAACCGAAATCCAGTGTCTTCCAAATGTCTCATTCCAACTCACATTTATTCGTAAGGTATGGAGAACAAAACCCAACCTCTGCAAAACATCCAAACGACTTTAAATTCAAACAGTTAGACATTTAAAATATTGTCAACCTGGCATTCATTCCAACCAAAGTTTATTGTCTGTCTGTTGTTAGAGTCCAACATCTTTCTGATGTCATACTGACGTCCACTGCCAGCTGGGAAGGTAGCCATGCTCTAAAGCATACCCAGCTTTATCGTTTATTGTACTCTAAATGAGACCATAAATTACAAAATGAACTTCAAGCTGTGCTGAAGAGAAGACTTGAAACTAACGATTGAGACCATAAAGGTAATAATTCAAGTCAGTTGTAGAGTCATTTTCTCTTTGACTTGTATACTATTGGACTTCTTTTTGCAACCAGTGGGGTCGCCCACCTGCTTGCCATTAGAAAGAAGGCAGGTTTAAAGTGTTTCTGCACTGGCTTTACTTTTCAGACCTGGGGGTTACCTGCTGGTGTGTACCTGCTCTCTCTTAATCTGAAAAAAGGAAAGGAGGCAAAAAGAGGTATGTGTGTCTGTCACACTGACCGAGGTTCCACTTATCCAGACTGATGTTTATTCTATTGGACACTTTAAGGGGCCACTATGTCATTTTCCAAAGGTGGTTTCCCACTCATAAAAACTACAGACAGCAGTCCATCCAGTGATGATTAATGTAGTTAAACATTTTTACTTCTGATCTCTGATCTTTCCAAAAGATAATAAATAACTTAGGTGTCAAACCAAAGACCAGTCTGTATCCTTAAAGCATTCCAAAGGCAAAACCACTTCTGTTGCTTAACTTTTGTCTTCCCCGGGTCATATGGCAAGCACTCCATGATCACTTAAATCACAACAAAAGGTAGCACTGCACTAACCCTAACCGTAACCAGTGTTGGGTAAGGGTTACTTTAAAAGTAATCAAAGTACGTTACTGCGTTACTTCTAACGTTACTCCCTGAGAAAAGTAACTCAAGCACTTTTAAAGTACTTTTGAGTATTCTACATTTCCTATTGGGCAATGGACCACAGGGCGCTAAGCCTACATTTTTTTGTCTCCAAAATTAAAGTTATGGACCACTTGCCCTTCACTGAGATCCAATTCTCCCATCACAGCCGTCACTTTAACCAGTAGAAACACAGAATGATCTGCTGCCGTAGACAACTGTATGACAACAACACCCCAGCGTTTTTAATATTTCCTCTAGGGATGTTACCACACAGAGTAAAAGGGGGAAATGATGGTGTGAAACAGCAGAGGCACTTTGTCAACCTGCTGAGTTAACGTTACTGTCATTAGCATCAAGCTAGCAAACAATGGTACATCCTCACGGTCGCACATAAAATAATAACATTAACAAATAGCGGCGGGGCTTTTACTCACCACAGCTGCAGAGGCTCCCAGCTTCATTTGAAACAAACTACATTATAGATGGTCCGTTATTTATTAATCCCTCTGTGTGTTTATATATTTACTTTTTATCCGCTCCGTTGTCTTTGTAAAGTTAACATATCGCACCGTCTTTTCAAACTCAACACTTGTTTCAAATTAAAAGCCCCTTATAACCTCAGCTAGAGAATCCCTCCATTTTCTAAATAGGCTTGTTTATGTTTATTCTGAAACATTTGTCAGAACTTCCTGTGGAAGATACAGTAGCTTGATAGTTTACGTATGGTGCTTCAAATGTAGCTCCTGCCATCTGCTGACGCTTTTAGGTGACTACAACAACATGTCGGCTGGCACATGAACAGACTCAAATAATAGTAAAAGTGATAAAAATAGGACAAGAATAACCCGATGACATCACACACGCTGTGAAAGACGACCGGGGATAATTGGTGAGTACCAGCGTGTAGCGTGTACCAGGCATAATGCAAGTCCTGAGTCTGAAATATGTCTGTCAGCGAGTCCTGCTCCACCTATTTAGACTCCACCATAGACAACGGCAGCATTTCTCCGACCACGTAGCGAGC